AAACTTGCCACTATTTCCATTTTGCAAATTAGTTTGCTTTTGTTTTGTGATTGGTTATCATGAGATAAACATGTGCTTCATCTGGATGTCTGATTTTATGGGCAGCTGACTGAAGAATTTCCACGACCAGAGGGGGAAAAGTTGTAAAAGTAGGGAACATGAACCCTCCATCTTCTAGTTTTGATAGATCATGTAGCATGGAGACAATGATGTGTGTGTGTGTGTGTGTGTGTGTGTGTGTGTGTGTGTGCGTGCACGCGCGCGTGCGTGCGTGCGTGTGTGTGTGTGTGTTTTGGACTGTATTAATTCAGATTACTGGTGAATCATACTGTATATTCTGTATTATGCACTGAATCCAAAAGAGCAACAATACAAGCTTTCGTGTATTATACAAAGGCAGCTATCCAGCTGTGGAAGGTGTTCAGGAACTGCAGTGGAATGCCTTGCATAATGCATAGAATGGCTCTTTGTTTGAATTCTGATTTTCACCGGATGACTGATTATTGGTTTACTTTATCAACAGTTCTGGGGCCTATAAATTTCCTTATTATTACAGCAGACTGTTAGCCAACACTGTCTATTCTTACTAATAGCTCTCCAAAGTCTCAGGCAGTGGCTGTTTACAGTGCCTGCTTTAGGCCCAGGAGTGATAACTGTGGCCCTCCAGATGTTTCTAGCTTACAGCCTCTCCCATTATTGCTCACCATTGGCTCTGCTGGGTAGACCTAATGAGCATTAGAGGTAGGTTTTCCATGTGTTGAAGTGCTGGCTGAAGACTCTGGAAATTATTATGATTCCCCAGGTCTCCAGATGGGGAGGCAAATCTCAGGTCAAAAGATACATGAGGGATAGACAGTGTAGATGTTGTGTATGAGATGGTTTTAAACCTTAGGTACCTATCTTCATTCATTCACATCTTGTATCAGTGTTCACAAGCCCAGCACAAAGATCTTTGCATGCATATTGCATCCAGCCATTCCCTTCAAGCAGCATAATCTTGTTCACTGTGTATTCCTCCACCTCCACCCCTGTTACTGCTGATTTCAAAATAGCAACCAGGGATACTGATCATAGCCTTTCTTGGACTGTAGTTTGGGGGGAAATCATTGCAAACTTTTGGGTTTGTCTGTACTGGCTAGTATTTCCTTTGCAGAGTCTGGAAAAGCTACGATGGCACCATAGTTGATTTTCACATGGGTGAACAATATACAATATTTTGGATCTTTGCTGTTTCAGGGGAATGAGGAGATAATGCACTGGCCTATGTCATCACTTGTGAGTTTTAGATCCATCTTTTCTACTTCAGTTACTAAGGAGTATTCAAAAAAGATATTATTTTGCTTCCTTAAACCTGGCTAAAAAGTTCAAATTTCATTTGCTCAAATTATGTATACAGCACTATGCGATCATACTTAGTCATACACCTGTTAAAAATTGGACAGTATGTTTTAAAATAGTGTAAACATTATGGAATGTGAGGTATTGTACTTTAGGAACACCCATTACCTCTGGCGTTGGCAACAAGAGCATTACATAAATAGTTATGTAAGTTTAAAAACAGATTAATTTCAGGACATGAGAAACTATATGCCAAAAAAGTAGTTTTCAGAATAGTCTCCCCTTCACTTAAATGTCTAAAGAAATCCCTTAATGTATGTTGCTAATTTGCATTGGGATGGGAATAGGAACAGGACTGATGAAGGAATAATAGTAAATGCGTTATTCAGTATAAAGTATGTTAATTCCCATGCTCCTGTAGAGGAAAATTCTGGAACAAGGTTTAGACTCTCTCTCTCTCTCTCTCTCTCTCTCTCTCTGTGTGTGTGTTAGAGAGAGAGAGAGAGAGAGAGAGAGAGAGAGAGAGAGAGAAATAGCTTCATAGCCCCTCCTGGAGATCTTGAACAGGTCCTGCTGCTATGCAGGCATGTCATCAGGATGTCATATAATTCTAATAGCATGACCTGGACCCTGGTGTAATGCCAGTGATGCAAGGACCAAAAATCATGTTGACAGGCTATACTGAGGAGGAGGAATCTGATCTCAGTAGGGTCAGTCAATATCGTTAAGTTCACAGAGTTCAGATCCAACAATAGTATATTTTTATGCTACCTAAAAAGGTAGCATATACTCACACTGAAGTAAAAGGAGAGCCGAAACACTCTCTTTCTCTTCTGCTCTAAGAATAAAACAACAAGAATAACAAGGTATTCATACTTAAACCTCAACTTTCTTACAATAAATTCAAGGCAACTTATAACTGCTCTTTTCCTTTCCATTGTATTCTCACAAGAACCCTGTGAGGTAGATCATGGTGACTAGCTCAGTGTCACAACAATCATGTTAGGAGCTGGATCTACCAAGCCCCAGTCCAACACATCTTACATCACCACAACTGTTACAGGTTCTCCATCTTAGAATCCAAATACCCAACAAGAACCTCAACTTTATAGGTTAAGCTGAGAGATGGTTACTGATACAAAAGGCCAAACTATGCATTAGAGATAAATTTAATTAAAGATGAAATCATGAGTTCACGACTGCCAGAATCTTTCATGTCTGAGAAATCAGACTTAGGCTTAGCTAGGTGGCTCAGTTGGAGTGGGTTAAATAGGGTCACTTAAGGTCAGAAAGATGAACAAGTGGATCCTAGATCAAATCAAACCTGAACTATCTCTGGAGGCAAAAATATTGAGGCTGTCTGACTTTAGGCACATCATGGGAAAGCAAGCTTCTTTGGAAAAGATGTTAATGCTGGGGAAGATGGAAGGCAGAAGGAAAAGAGGAATGCCAAATACAAGATGGACTGACTTCCTAAAAGAACCCACAGGCTTGAGTTTACAAAAGCTGAGCAGGGCAGTTTTAGGACAGGACATTGTGGAGATTGCTCATTCATAGGGTTAGCATAAGTTGGAAGCAACTTTACAGCACATGAAAACAAAAGGTTACATAGAGGTCTGATATGCCATTTGGTGTGATGCTTGCATCCACATGGCATATGCACCTCAAGTGATCTTGTTTGACAGATCCCTCCTTTAAAATAAAGGAAAGAAAACAAAGACAAATCCTCTCTCTTCCTCTAGATGAACAGAGGGAAGAAGCAAAGTTATTTTCAAAGCAAGAATTCATGGAGGAACAGAGAAAGTTTTAAATTTCCCAGTATCATTAAGTTGCCGAGCTGTCTGTTTAAGCCCCTTAACAATACTGGGAAAGTGAAACCAGATGGGAAGCAGCAAACTACTGTACTGTACTTCAGTTTGATTCCAGAGATTGCACATGCTGGAAGAGAATCAAATGCACCTTTAAAAAAAGTAGCTTCTGACAGGGAGCCACAAAGGTGCAGCTCTGGAGATGGGCTGGTTCATGCTGCCACTTATGTTATGAGGTCATAAGATCACCAGCAAAAGGAGTGAACCAACTGTCCCCAGAGCAGACCAAACAGTGGGACAAATGCCCATGTAGTTGCCTCCTTACAGGAGAAGAACATGCTTAGTGCATGAAGACCATTCACAGAGCAAAGCTAGTTAATATGCAAATTACAGGAAGTGAGAAAAGCTCCCACTGTGACAATCACACACAAGCAACTCTTAAGGGATCTTGTTTTCCTATACAGTGGACCCTCGACTTACAGACGGCTCGACTTACAGACTTTTCGAGTTACAGACTTCTCTGGCTGCAAAATTTAGATTCGACTTACAGCCGGAGAATCGACCTACAGACCAAAAAAACCCCAAAATGGAACAAAAATAGAATAAAAACTGCCAGTTGTGGGATTAATCAGTTTTCAATGCATTGTAGGTCAATGGAGATTTGACCTACAGACTTTTTGACTTACAGCCACCGTTCCAATACGGATTAATTCCTTAAGTAGAGGGTCCACTGTAGTGGGTTCTCTCTATATATGTTGATCTTAAAGTCACTTGCTGAGCTTCATGTCTGAGTGGAAACTACGGGCCTGGTTTCACAGCTGGAATAAACTGGGAGAGGGTTCGGTATTTTTGGAGTCAGGCTGAAGTCATGTGGTCTTTAGCCTGAATCCAAAACTTTTGTGTGTCCTCACCTTTGCCGCCTTTACTTGTGCTGTTGTCCTCCCCTTGCTTCCACTACCCATAAAAGGTAAAGGTTCCCCTTGACAATTTTTGTCCAGTCGTGTTCGACTCTAGGGGGTGGTACTCATCCCCGTTTCCAAGCCATGTTTTGTTCAGTCGTTTAGTCGTGTCCGACTCTTCGTGACCCCATGGACCAGAGCACGCCAGGCCCTCCTATCTTCCACTGCCTCCCGGAGTTGTGTCAAATTCATGTTGGTTGCTTCAATGACACTGTCCAACTATCTCATCCTCGGTCGTCCCCTTCTCCTCTTGCCTTCACACTTTCCCAACATCAAAGTCTTTTCCAAGGAGTCTTCTCTTCGCATGAGATGGCCAAAGTACTGGAGCCTCAGCTTCAGGATCTGTCCTTCCAATGAGCACTCGGGGTTGATTTCCTTTAGAATTGATAGGTTTGTTCTCTTTGCAGTCCAGGGAACTCTCAAGAGTCTCCTCCAGCACCACAATTCAAAGGCATCAATTCTTCGGTGGTCAGCTTTCTTTATGGTCCAGCTCTCACTTCCATACAACACTACAGGAAAAACCATAGCTTTGACTATTCGGACTTTTGTCGGCAAGGTGATGTCTCTGCTTTTTAAGATGCTGTCAAGGTTTGTCATTGCTTTCCTTCCAAGAAGCAGGTGTCTTTTAATTTCGGGGCTGCTGTCTCCATCTGCAGTGATCATTGAGCCATAGAGCCAGCGTTTGTCCGAAGACAATCTTCCGTGGTCAGATGGCCAGTGCGACTTAGACACGGAACGCTGTTACCTTCCCACCGAGGTGGTCCCTATTTATCTACTTGCATTTGCATGCTTTCGAACCGCTAGGTTGGCAGGAGCTGGGACAAGCGACGGACGCTCACTCCGTCACGTGGATTCAATCTTATGACTGCTTGGTCTTCTGACCCTCCAGCACAGGCTTCTGCGGTTTAGCCCGCAGCACCACCATGTCCCTTTTGCCATTACCCATGCTTCCTGTCAAAACAAGGTTGGTCCCAGGTCCCAGGCATGTGTAGGGGTGATCAGGCAGAGAAGTGAAGGGGTGAGCAAGCAATCATGCTGTCAGGGGGATTGGAGCAATGGGGGAGTGATTGGGCAAGCAAGCGAGAGGACAGGCCAGCTAGCACGTTTTTCTGCTTCTATTAGGAATGTTCATATATGTGAAATCAATTCCAACCAATCGATTTCACATTCGCCTCAAAAGAAACAGACCTCTGGCAGAGAAGCAGAAAATCTCACTCCCCAGGCACATTATTCTACATGTGCATGTACCTAGTGTGTACATTAAAATTTAAGTATTTTTTAAAAGCAGAATGCAATATAACAATGGTTTTTATTGTCCGTAGAATCAAGCCCTTAGACTCTGTTTAGATTATGCTACTCTGTTATAATACACTTGAGGTTATGTTCTTCATTTGAACAGAAGAAAATCTGTAGGAGATTTGATCCTTGAAAGGATGAGAAACATGAGTTTGGAAAAGAGCATCTTTGCATTCTTTCAACAGTCCCACTTTCCAGATATGTAAATATCCTATGTACTTTCCAAAGAAACATGTTTTTTCAGGTTGACACAGTGCACAAATTATAATGTTGCTTGTACACTGGCTCTTTTCCAAGTTGGCTTTGGGAAAATATTGAATATCAGCAGGGAAAGAATGCATGCGTGCGCACAGACACACTCTCACACTCACAATTCTTGTCTTCTCAGAAATAAGGTGTGGAATAGCTACCAAGTGTTGCCTTGATACCATTGTTTACATGGAACAGTGCTGGAGGCCAAAGGTGTTGCCCTAGTTTCACTGAAGAAACACCTGTGTTCTTGTGGAAACTCGGAGAAATGAAGAACAATATATGGAAGATAAACAGGTCACAACCCAGCATGATTTATTTATTTTTAGTTTGTGTATTTATTGGTTGATGTTATTAATAATGGGATAGCCAGTGTGGTGTAGCAGGTAGAGTGTTGGACTAGAATGCCAGAGACCCGAGTTCAAATTCCTGCTTCATTGTGGAAATGCACAGGAGAGTGGCAATCGTAAAACATTCCCTGAATGCCCCAAATACCTCAAAATTCTCAGAAAAGTCACCATAAGTGAGAGGTGTTTTGACAGTCCATAACACAACATTCTTAATAACATTTTCAGCATTATAATTTGGGTACCATAAAGACTTACTGGAGCAATAAAAATAACCCCCAGATATATGAAGAACAGCTGAACGTCAACAAACGGAAACATCCTGGGATTATACAATAAAATTTTGACAGAATGAAAGCCATAGCTATCAGTTCTTTTAGAGGATAGAGACAGATTAAAATGGATTAGTCCAGAATTTGACATGGTCCTTTAGTGGTCCTCTGCAAGGAGATGATTCCTTGAATGCAAAGACAATAACAAAGGCCTCTAGTTTCTGTAAAGGTGTCTACGTTTTCCAGCCCCTTGAGTAATCTTAATTTGTAGATTAAGAATCTCTCTTATGACCATTGCATATACTCTGTCTATGCAGTGCTGTATTAATATTTAATGTTGTAACATACTCAGCACTTCTCCAGATGGTGAGAATCTGAGGGTCAATTTAGGTTTTTTCCCCCCTTCTTTTTTTGTGGAAAGGCAGAGGCAGCACTGGAGGCTTATTGTTTCTTGGAAACATTTGTTTTGTTTATATGTGTTCCCCACTACTCTCATCCAAAGCTGGGACAGTAGGGGAAGTTTCAGCTGATGTGACTTCCATAGGCTTGGGACTCCAGGTATGATGTGAAGAATATTTTACTAAAGAACCAGATGCTTTTAGCACAGGGTTCACTTCACCCTCTCCTGGTCCATCTTTGGGCTCAGTTCCGGTCACTAGATTAGGGCCTTTCCTCTCACTCTGGAAGACCTTGGTTAATTCCACTAAACCTGGCGTGGCCCACAGTTCTAAGGTCTAACTGAACGAACTCATGGCTCTTAAGGACAGCTTCTACTGTTGGATAGCCATTCCACTAAAGGTCTCCATTGAGCTTTCTCAAGGCTCTACTGCCGTACTTTCTGTTGCTTACATCTCCAGTGCCTCTTCTGCACTGGAGTGGAAGTTGGGTGTTCAGCTGAAGGAAGCTGTCTCCAACAGTGCCAGGTGTTGGCTCAAGACTAGCAAGGAAACAGCTCAAAGCTCCTGGCTTGCCCCCTCCCTTCTGAGACAAATTTCAATGCCAATCCAGGGATCTTCAACAAGGATATAATCGTAGATTCCTGGGCAAGGCCTCTTCCTGCTCCTCCACTGTATCTCCTCAGGTGTCCTCATCCTCAGAGTCAGTAGGGCCTGATTCTGACCCATCACCCTCAGTTGCCTCCAAATTCTCCATGTTGCTGGACTATTTGTCACCCGCCCCCAGCTTTATGCTTGCTGGCTGGATACAGAGATCTGCCCCTGCTTCCTTGCCTACGTTGCTCTTATTATTCACCTTTTATTTCTGGGTCTGGACCAACCAACTGGCCTCGGACCCCACCTGAGACTTGACAGAAGGCAATTCTGATGGGTTCCCCATGGGTGCTGGGCAAGAGCGGACAGTCTGCCATGGATGCCAGAGGTGATCCACGCACAGTATAGAAGCAGAATCTGCTGCCTTAAAAAAAACAGGTAGGGACTTTCACAATTCTGTTGCAGGAAGTTAATCTGAAGCCCCTGAACAGCAACTTTCCTCTTCTCACATTCATTCTTTGTGGAAAATTGTAACTGCTCACTCTTTCCACTACTCTTAATATTAGTGAAAGGCTAGGAATGTCAAAAAGCATTGTCCAAAACCATATGGTGTTCGCACATATTTAAAACGAGTGTTGTTGATGCAAGCAAAGAAGTGCTTCCCAAAACTTTTAATTCTGGAGAAATCCACATATCTCTGTACTCTCATTTACTCTCAGCTATTTGAAATAGAAGCGTCAATTTAGAATTTGAAATTACAAACAAAATCTTGGCAAGAATTATTTTCGGTTGAAGATGTGTACGCACAAGTAATTCTTCATGTCAGAAAAAAAGTTAGTGAAAATGAAGTTACCTTAACAAAGAGAAGTAAAAGAAATCTACTGTGAAGGATGGTGCTGCATCTTAGAACATCCTCCTTGGATTTTCTCATGCTTCCCTGGGCAGGCAAGCCCCCTTATTAAGGAATCCATTCGGTCAAGATTTTGGCTTAAATCTAATGTTAGAGCAGATTGTTTGAAATACGAGGCACTTATGCCGTGACTGACAAATTTCCACTGATATATTCTAGCTGTGATTAACATTGTTTTCGACTGTTTAAGCCAGAGATGGCTAACATGTGACTCTCCACACATGTTAGCTTGCAAATCTTATCAGCCGTAGTCAGCATAACTGATTTTGATGAGTATCTATAGGAGTTGAGATCCAATCCCATGTGGAGGACCACGTATTATTCATTGCCTCTCTTTTAGGCACAACTACAGGATAGATCCAAACCAATACATCATCACAAAGAAATTAAAACTGAAGCATTTGTTGTGGAGTTTTAGAAAGATCCACTCTTACTGAATATAACTCATGCATGGGAAATCAATTATACAGGCTCTTGGCTAAATTTAATCACACAAGGGAGTAGTTGAAAGTCTTTTCTATTCTATATGATCTAATGTTACACAATTATCCAGGTGTACCACAGTGGCTTTTCACTCAACACCTCCATGTATTACTCACACACTGCCAAACTCAGGAAGCTAAACTAAATGAATGGATTGATATAGCATGACCATTGTTAAATGGCTGGTTGGGAGTTCAGTTTTTTAAAAGAAGCACACACTTTAAGAACTACCTTTAGAAGCCAAGACTGTCAAATGACTACTGCATGAAAGTCCTATAAGAACACGATGTGGAACAAAATGATATGGGAAAACAAAATTATATAATGTGCTTGGGAAGGGCTGCAGTTTAATGGTAGAACCAAAAAACATGTTTTCCATCCAGACTGTTTCAGGTTCCATTCTTATCATTTCTTGTTGACAAAATCTCTAGACGAAAAATGTCTACAAATTTAATTGTGGCCTTGAAATGCTCCATTCAGTGAAGCTTGTTGGAAACAGAGACACTGTCATCTTCAATTTACAATTCACCCATGTTTCTATTTTGCTTCTTCCTCCTTTTTGTTTTTAAAACCACAGAAAATCTGTCCAGGAAGAAAGATGGAGTAGCTTTACAAAGCATTGTGATTTTTTCCATCTCTGCAGTTCTAACATTGTTGTTGTTATTTTTATTATTAAGCAATAATATCCCTTTCTGCAGAAACACTTTAAGAAGAAATGTATGCTTCCTGCTATTATATTTTCCTTCCAAACATGCCGTTCCTTCAGAACATTCAGACTTGCAGATAAAGCCCATGTTTCCCTTCCAGTGACCAATCACAAAACAAAAGCAAGCTGAACATAAGGAGCAAAGAAAAGCTTGTGCTCGGATAAACAGACATCTTTATCTCACAGCTAATCTGCAGATGTAAAAATTGCATTATTTGATCATTAGTGTAGAGAAAAACTGGGCTAGATCAATTAATTTTTTTTTTGTTTCCATGGCAGCAGCCACAACAGTAAAAAGATATTGGGAATACTGTACATCATTTTAAGGGAAAAAGGTTTTTTAAAAAACCCACCCACCCCCTTCATTCATACTGTAGCTACATACATAATTCACTGGGCTATTCAACCACAACAAAGACATAAGCAACAGACAAAGGCAATAAGCCACTGCATCTTACTTTTTCCTTAGAGGAAGTAAGATGGCAACTATGATGTGATGTAAAACAAAGATTCTCAATCCAAAGGAACATGTTTGCTTTGATTCTGCTTGACTAATCTGTCAGCTATAAACAGACTTCTAGTTCTGCATCCCCCTCCTCACTTGAACATAGGCATACTTTTAGGAGATCCATCCTAACATATATAGTGTTTTTGATATTCAAGTCCACACTGTGCAGTGAAATTCAATAGGTTATCTTTGGCCAAACCAATCCTCTTATTCACGCAGACCTAAGTCACAGAGATATAGGAATTATGTGGGGAAGAATTTACTATCTTCAGCTCCCTGGTGGAAAGACAGGATACAAATGTCTAATAACAAATAGATATTTCAATATGTTTGTTTAAAAAAAGCAAATTAATGGAAAAACAGGACTGAATGAATGGATCAATGGATACATACCACTTACACGGACTGAAAATATAATGTTTTCTCCATTCCTGGTTCCTAGGTACTAGGAATGGTGTATATATATATTTTTTGAATGGAATCATGCTGAATAAATGCATTAAATTATGCAATCTATGCAAAAGAATTATATACAAAGGAGATTTATGTGACTATAAAATGTCTTTCAAAAACGAAGATTGAAATGAGTGGCTAATGGACCACAAACAGAAGAGCAAGCATTTCTTTCGGTTTTTATCTTTACTTTCCAGAAGGTACAAACTGATACTTTGGAAGAGGGGGGAAATGCCATGCCAAGTTTTTTATTCGTATGTAGTGAGAAATGTGCTTCCTGAGAACAGCAAGATTTTTTTCTTCAATGTTATTCTTCTTATTTTGACTGTATGTAATCTGTTTAACATATCAGCATACTTCAGAATGAAATCAGTGAATTTTGTTCTTGTGCTTACAGGTACAGCAGGAAGACTCAACACAACCCCTTCCCCCACTGCACAAGGACAATTGAATCGATGTGGCTTCTGTGCAGCTTCAGTTTGTATGTGTGGGAATAACCACCGCTTGATTCTACAAGACACCAAAGGCTGCGAAAATACACATTTCCCAAAGGAATTAAAGAAGTGTGACTGAATAAAAAGCATTTGAATTTGCTTCCTGTCCAGTATCCAAAAGGATTCCTGCCTACTTTGCTTGCAGGTACATAAATCCCGTCTAGCTGAATTAAAGATATCTATGGTGAAGGCAGTTCTCCTGTGAGGGGTGATTCTTGTCAGATACAAACTGTGGCTATCCATCAAAGATTAGTCAAGGGGCTGCTTTACAGGTGTCACAAACAAGTCCAGCTGTAAACCTTTTCTTCTAAATACTGGGAGTGTAGGAATAAAAGTACAGTAATATATTATTTGTATGATAAGAACAATGAGATAGGTTTGTGCTACATACATGAAAAGTGTATGAGTTTGCAGAAGAGATGAATAGGGTGGAAATGGACTAGGGCGGATATAAGATGAGCCTGTAACAGAGAAATAATTTAGGGAAAGGCAGAATGACAATTAATCCTCATTGATGTATTAACCTTCATACTTTGTTGACCTTGCATTGCATTCAGTTGTGACATATTGTCAGTGAAAAATCCCTCTGCTTCAACAATTCTTGAATTTGGGGAAACTGTTGAGATCTATTCAGTGCTTTCATTGTAGGTTTTGTTTTGTGTGGCTTCTGCAACAAAATGTGACACTATCATGATAAAAAATTCTATCCTGGTATAGAAAAACCAACCCTTAACTACCTAGATAGGACATTTTAGTCCCACTGACTCATGTTTTGCTGGAGAATTCACATACAAAAATACCTTCAGGGCAGACATTTTACACATTATTGTCACCCGACAAGTTATAAACAATCTGTCCATTGTTTCAGCCATTTGCCATATATTTTTCTTTCTGATATTTAAAAAAGACTATTTGAGAGATCTCAGTTCAGTCTGTTTTCTGGAAGGTACAAATGTGAAACATAATTTTCCTTGAAAAACAACTAAGAAATCATTCTTGCCTCCATAAACCGGGAAAGTTTCCTCAACAGCTTGGTCTTGCGGACATTGCAAACAAGAGTATATTGCTACACTATTGAGTGTTAGAATTATAGCATGAAGTCAAACAAAATGCTTTATACCAGGGGTCCCCAACCCCCGGTCCATGGCCTGGTGCCAGTCTGTGGGCCTCCATTAACTGGGCCCCGGACACAGATCTCCTCCCCCCGCACACACAGGGCACATGTTGTACTTGTGGAGGGGCATGTCGCGCTTGTGAGTGCAACATGGCCACCCGCAAGCGCAACACACCCACCCACTCTCAGCGTCTGCCTGGAGCGGGAGCAGTGGCGGCGGCACCTACTTGGTGAGCGTGGGGCTTCCTCCCTGTGTCGTAGGGGCTGGGTCCCACCTGCCTCCTGACACACCCATGCATCCAGAAGGGGAGCCCTCTCCCTGCCTGGCAGTCTTCTCCCTCAGGGGTTTGGCACCACTGTGGCTTCTGCTTTTAGGTCTCTCCCACCCCCCGAGATAGATAAAGTGATCAGGCACTCCCATTTCTTTAAGAACTTGCAATAGTTTGTTGTGGTCCACACAGTCAACGGTTTTTGCATAATCAATGAAGCAGTAGTAGATGTTTCTCTGGAACTCTCTGGCTTTCTCCATAATTCAGTGCATGTTAGCAATTTGGTTTTGAGTTCCTCTGCCCCTTCAAAATCCAGCTTGTACTTCTGGGAGTTCTTGGACCACATACTGCTGAAGCCTAACTTGTAGGATTTTGAGCATAACCTTGCCAGCGTGTGCAATGAGTACAACTGTACGGTAGTTGGAGCATTCTTTGGCACTGCCCTTCTTTGGAATTGGGATGCAGACTGATCTTTTCTAATCCTCTGGCCATTGCTGAGTTTTCCAAACTTGCTGGCATATTGAGTGTAGTACCTTAACAGTGTCATCCTTTAAAATTTTAAATAGTTCAACTGGAATGCCATCACCTCCCCTGGCCTTGTCTCCAGGTCAGCAAATACACTATAGTGGTGCCCTGACTTATGACCATAATCCATTCTAGAAGATGTGCATAACTCAAAATGGTCGTATGTCGAAGCACCATTTTCCATAGGAATACATAGAAACCCCATTAATCCATTCAGACCAGGAAAAAATATACCAATAAATAAATAAAATAAAAATAAAACACTGGAAGCCTCATAGGAATGTGCTGGGGCCAAAAAACAAAGAGACCAAAGCAAGCAAACAAACAAACAAACAAAAAACACAGCCAGCCCCAGCAGAACGCTATGGGGCTGGGAAAAAACACTCAAAAAAACCACACACCCCCACACACAGCCAGCCCCAGCGGAACACCATTAGAAAACAGTGTCCAGTCCTCCTCGCCATAATAAGACCTGAAAAGACATCCGGCATGAAAAGATACCTGCACACAAACTCCGACGACGAGCCGTCGACAAGGAAAAAGAAACAACTCAAACTGGAGACACTCCTCCTTTCCAAGGACAGGGTAAGCTCTGATAAAGAGCCCGGCAAGAACCTTGGGTCAACGAATTCCAACTTTGATACTATCCTCCCTCCCGCTTATGAAAGTTTAAACTGCTCTTCTCCCATAAATGCTCTAAGTAAAGGCAACAATGCCGAAGACACGAGCAAAACTAAGGGAATCAGAAGGATGACACGCCCTAATGAGGTCCATACAAACGGCACCCACACAAAGCCCAGCTGCTTTGCTGCTGAACTTCTCAGCGAGGTAAGCTTTATCTCTGCAGAGAGCTTAATTCTGCTACTGGAACGACTCAGTCTAATCGAGACACAACTACAGACCATAATCCGGCTGGTGGCTAATAGAGAAGAGGCCCCCTGCAATCCCAACAAAGGAAGGCTTTATCCCTTTTCCAACTACTCTTCTCCTAAAGAGGAATGTAAGGCTCCTTTAAACCAGCATGAGAAAGTTACTAGAATCTATCAAGCTTACCAGGTGGTCGTTCAGATTCCAGTACCTGACTTACACCTCTGGAACACCAAGAGCAAGATCCTTACAGCACTTTCCACGCTACTTGATTCTACCATTGCAGCCAAGAAGCTGAAACAATTTCACCTTCTACCCCACTATAAAGGTTTCAGCAGAGTTCTTCTGTCATTTATTTCTAGTGACATACCTCGAAGGATATTCCAGTCTGCACCCCACCTCATGAGCTATCGGGTGTACCCCTCTAGGGTTTTTAAAGAAGCGGACCCCAAACCCTTAATTAGGAATAGTAGATCGTTTATTACTAAACTCAAGAAGACCGTGGGCCCTTCTCCTTCTAGCAAATGGGCTAAAGACTGGGGAATAAACCAGCTCCCAAATGACTTGAACAGTAATCAACTCTCGCTACAGAATCGCCT